GATGACGCTGGTTGTACATAGGTGTATATTGCACTCTGTGATGACGCTGGTTGTACATAGGTGTATATAGCACTCTGTGATATGACGCTGGTTGTATATAGGTGTATATTGCACCCTGAGATGATGCTGGATGTATATAGGTGTATATTGCACTCTGTGATGACGCTGGTTGTATATAGGTGTATATTGCACCCTGAGATGACGCTGGATGTATATAGGTGTATATTGCACCCTGTGATGACGCTGGATGTACATAGGTGTATATTGCACCCTGTGATGACGCTGGATGTATATAGGTGTACAGGTGAAACTCAAAAAATAATATTGAGCAAAAGTTGATTTATTTCAGTGCAGCAACTTGAAAGGTGAAAACTAATATATGAGACTCATTCCATGCAAAGCAAGATAGTTCCAGCCGTGATTTGTCATCATTGTGATGATTATGGCTTACAGGTCATGAAAACCCCAAATCCACAATCTCAGAAAATGAGAATATTGTGAAAAGGTGGAAAAATCTCGGCTCAAAGTGTCCCACTCTAATCAGCTCATTCAGCCATAACACCTGCAAAGGGTTCCTGAGCCTTTAAATGGTCCCCTCAGTCTGGTTCAGTAGGAATCACAATCATGGGAAAGACTGCTGACCTGACACCATCACTGACACCCTCCATAAGGAGGGAAAGACTCAAAAGGGGAATCGCAGAAGAAGTTGGATGTTCCCAAGTGCTGTATCAAAGCACATTAATAGAAAGTTATGTGGAAGGGAAAAGTGTGGAAGAAAAAAGGTGCACAAGCAGCAGGGATGACCGCAGCCTGGAGAGGATTGTCAGGAAAAGGCCATTCAAAAGTTGTTGGGGACTTTCACAAGGAGTGGACTGAGGCTGGAGTCAGTGCATCAAGAGCCACCACACACAGACGGATCCTGGACATGGGGCTTCAAATGTCGTATTCCTCTTGTCAAGCCGCTCCTGAACAACAAACAACGTCAGAAGCGTCTTACCTGGGCTAAAGAAAAACAGACCTGGTCTGTCCTCAGTGGTCCAAAGTCCTCTTTTTGATGAGAGCAACTTTTGCATTTCATTTGGAAACAAGGACCCCGAGTATGGAGGAAGAATGGAGAGGCCCAAGGACCCCGAGTATGGAGGAAGAATGGAGAGGCCCAAGGACCCCGAGTATGGAGGAAGAATGGAGAGGCCCAAGGACCCCGAGTATGGAGGAAGAATGGAGAGGCACAAGGACCCCGAGTATAGAGGAAGAATGGAGAGGCAGAAGGGCCCAGAGTATGGAGGAAAGAATGGAGAGGCACAAGGACCCCGTGTATGGAGGAAGAATGGAGAGGCCCAAGGACCCCGAGTATGGAGGAAGAATGGAGAGGCCCAAGGACCCCCAGTATGGAGGAAGAATGGAGAGGCCCCAAGGACCCCCGAGTATGGAGGAAGAATGGAGAGCCCAAGGACCCGAGTATGGAGGAAGAATGGAGAGGCCCAAGGACCCCGAGTATGGAGGAAGAATGGAGAGGCCCAAGGACCCCGAGTATGGAGGAAGAATGGAGAGGCCCAAGGACCCCGAGTATGGAGGAAGAATGGAGAGGCCCAAGACCCCGAGTATGGAGGAAGAATGGATAGGCCCAAGGACCCCGAGTATGGAGGAAGAATGGAGAGGCCAAGGACCCCGAGTATGGAGGAAGAATGGAGAGGCCCAAGGACCCAGAGTATGGAGGAAGAATGGAGAGGCACAAGGACCCCGAGTATGGAGGAAGAATGGAGAGGCCCAAGGACCCCGAGTATGGAGGAAGAATGGAGAGGCCCAAGGACCCCGAGTATGGAGGAAAGAATGGAGAGGCACAAAGACCCCGAGTATGGAGGAAGAATGGAGAGGCACAAGGAACCCCGAGTATGGAGGAAGAATGGAGAGGCCCAAGGACCCCGAGTATGGAGGAAGAATGGAGAGGCCCAAGGACCCCGAGTATGGAGGAAGAATGGAGAGGCCCAAGGACCCGAGTATGGAGGAAGAATGGAGAGGCACAAGGACCCCGAGTATGGAGGAAGAATGAGAGGCACACACTGCAAGATGCTTGAAGTCCAGTGTGAAGTTTCACACAGTCTGTGTTGATTTGGGGAGCCATGTCATCTGCTGGTGTTGGTCCTCTGTGCTTCATTAAGTCCAGGGTCACCGCAGCCGTCTACCAGTGAGATTTTGGAGCACTTCATGCTTCCTTCCGCAGACCAGCTTTATGGGGGAGCTGACTTCATTTTCCAGCAGGACTTGGCTCCGCCCACACTGCCAAAAGCACCAAAACCTGGTTCAATGACCGTGGGATTACTGTGCTTGATTGGCCGGCAAACTCGCCTGACCTGAACCCCATAGAGAATCTATGGGGCATTGCCAAGAGAAAGATGAGAGACATGAGACCGAACAATGCAGAAGAGCTGAAGGCCGCTATTGAAGCATCCTGGTCTTCCATAACACCTCAGCAGTGCCACAGGCTGATAGCTTCCATGCCACGCCGCATTGAGGCAGTAATTGCTGCAAAAGGGGCCCCAACCAAGTACTGAGTACATATGCAGCTTCTACTTTTCAGAGGTGCGATATTGTTCTATGTACAATCCGTGTTTTAAATGATTGCATGGAATATTCTCATTTTCTAAGATTGTGGATTTGGGGTTTTCATGAGCTGTAAGCCATAATCATCACAATGATGACAAATCACGGCTGGAACTATCTTGCTTTGCATGGAATGAGTCTCATATATTAGTGTCACCTTTTAAGTTGCTGCACTGAAGTAAATGAACTTTTGCACCATATTCTAATTTTTCGAGTTTCACCTGTATATTGCACTCTGTGATAACGCTGGATGTACAGTCAGGTCCATAAATATTGGGACATCAACACAATTGTAACATTTTTGGCTCTATACACCACAATGGATTTGAAATGAAATGAACAAGATGCGCTTTAACTGCAGACTGTCAGCTTTAATTTGAGGGTATTTACATCCAAATCAGGTGAACGGTGTAGGAATGACAACAGTTTGCATATGTGCCTCCCACTTGTTAAGGGACCAAAAGTAATGGGACAATTGGCTTCTCAGCTGTTCCATGGCCAGGTGTGTGTTATTCCCTCATTATCCCAATTACAATGAGCAGATAAAAGGTCCAGAGTTCATTTCAAGTGTGCTATTTGCATTTGGAATCTGTTGCTGTCAACTCTCAAGATGAGATCCAAAGAGCTGTCACTATCAGTGAAGCCATCATTAGGCTGAAAAAACAAAACAAACCCATCAGAGAGATAGCAAAAACATTAGGCGTGGCCAAAACAACTGTTTGGAACATTCTTAAAAAGAAGGAACGCACCGGTGAGCTCAGCAACACCAAAAGACCCGGAAGACCACGGAAAACAACTGTGGTGGACGACAGAAGAATTCTTTCCCTGGTGAAGAAAACACCCTTCACAACAGTTGGCCAGATCAAGAACACCCTCCAGGAGGTAGGTGTATGTGTGTCAAAGTCACCAATCAGAGAAGACTTCACCAGAGTGAATACAGAGGGTTCACCACAAGATGGAAACCATTGGTGAGCCTCAAACACAGGAAGGCCAGATTAGAGTTTGCCAAACGACATGTAAAAAAGCCTTCACAGTTCTGGAACAACATCCTATGGACAGATGAGACCGACATCAACTTGTACCAGAGTGATGGGAAGAGAAGAGGATGGAGAAGGAACTGCTCATGGTCCTCAGCATACCACCTCATCAGTGATCATGGTGGTGGTAGTGTCATGGCGTGGGCATGTATGGCTGCCAATGGAACTGCTTCTCTTGTATTTATTGATGATGTGACTGCTGACAGAAGCAGCCGGATGAATTGTGAAGTGTTTCGGGAATATTATCGGCTCATATTCAGCCAAATGCTTCACAACTCATTGGACGCTTCACAGTGCAGATGGACAATGACCCAAAGCAGACTGCAAAAGCACCAAAGAAGTGGAATGTTCTGCAATGGCCAAGTCCATCACCTGACCTGAATCCGATTGAGCATTTCACTTGCTGAAGACAAAACTGAAGGGAAAATGCCCCAAGAACAAGCAGGAACTGAAGACAGTTGCAGTAGAGGCCTGGCAGAGCATCACCAGGGATGACACCCAGCGTCTGGTGATGTCTATGCGTTCCACACTTCAGGCTGTAATTGACTGCAAAGGATTTGCAAACCAAGTATTAAAAAGTGAAAGTTTGATTTATGATGATTATTCTGTCCCATTACTTTTGGTCCCTTAACAAGTGGGAGGCACATATGCAAACTGTTGTAATTCCTACACCGTTCACCTGATTTGGATGTAAATACCCTCAAATTAAAGATGACAGTCTGCAGTTAAAGCACAACTTGTTCGTTTCATTTCAAATCCATTGTGGTGTATGGAGCCAAAAATGTTAGAATTGTGTCCATGTCCCAATATTTATGGACCTGACTGTATATAGCTGTATTTTGCACCCTGTGATGTTTATAGGTGTAATTGCACTCTGTGATGTATATATTATTGCCCGTGACCCTGTGACCTGTATATAGGTGTATATTGTCCCCTGTGACGTATATAGGTGTATATTGCACCCTGTAATGTGACACCCTGTACGTATTTTGCACTCTATTGCCACGCAGTCTCTCTGATCTCCTGCCACATTCCAGGCTCCAGTGACACACGTGCAGCGAACTTCCTGCCTGTCGCCGGCTGATGACGTCAGTACGCTGTGCGCGGTCCGGCGGCTTGAGTGTCAGCATGTTCCCGGGTAGGAGGGTTCCTCGGCTGTGCCGCGCTCTGCTCTCCCGCACACTGCCTCCTGCTGGCGGCGCCGACTCTCTCCTCTCCTGCAGGCTCCGCGTCCTCCCAGCTGTCAATCACTCAGACTGCCCGGGAGGAGGCAGCAGGGAGGATGCCCCAGGATCTGCCAGGGACAGGCTGCTCAGGAGAGCATGGGGCAGATCATTGTCTCCTCTGGACCGGGTCACCAGGATGATTCCCCCTGAGCTCATCTCCAAAGAGGTCCAGGATCTGCAGGCTCCACCAGGTGAGGGGTCCATAGACCAGGTCACCCCACCCCCAACTCCTCCAGAAAACACCTTCCATGGGGCACTTAAGGACATTGGAGCTTCGGAACCTCTACAGGGCATACAGGTCAAGGATCTGCGGGGGACGGAACTGTCAGGTCCATCGGGTGAGGAGTCCTTCCACCAGGTCACCCCACTCCCATCATCTCCAGGAAGCACCCTCCATGTAGAATCAGAGGATGTTGGAGCTCCACGACCTCTATGTTCTAAAGAGGTGTCAGAAGAATTTGGGAATTTGGCTCCACCACAAGGCAAGGAAGCTGAAGAGAGGACTTCTCCAACCCGACCCCCAACCCCTCCTCTGTCGTCCTCCTCCCCTCCCACCCCAGAATCAGAGGGTGACCTCTCAATTCCGCAGGGTGCACCGTTCAGACCAGGGGACCTTCTGCTGGCGGAGTACAAGAGGAAGCACTACTCTGTGTTCAGGAAGATGTTCCTCCTGAAACCTCACGGCAAATTCATCAGCAGCTGGGGGCCATCAACAACCAGGACATATTGGGCAAACTGTCAGGACAGAGGCTCCGGACCTCTACTGGACACAAGATCCTACTGAGGAGACCCTCATTGGAGGAATATGTCATCTTCATGAAGAGGGGGCCCGCTATTTCCTTTCCAAAGGTATGGAGGAGCTGGGCCTACACTGCCGTATGGAGGAATGGAGTAAAAAAAAAAAAAACACTGTGAAGGATAATAATACAGTGAGAAAAGGATGGTGGTTTCGATGGTCAGTAGATGACCAGCAGGACAGTATGGGGGTCAAGAGATGACCAGCAGGACAGTATGGGGGTTAGAAGGGTCAAGAGATGACCAGCAGGACAGTATGGGGGTTAGAAGGGTCAAGCGATGACCAGCAGGACAGTATGGGGGTTAGGGTCAAGCGATGACCAGCAGGACAGTATGGGGGTTAGAAGGGTCAAGCGATGACCAGCAGGACAGTATGGGGGTTAGAAGGGTCAAGAGATGACCAGCAGGACAGTATGGGTGTTAGAAGGATTAAGAGATGACCACAGGACAGTATGGGGGTTAGAAGGGTCAAGAGATGACCAGCAGGACAGTATGGGGGTTAGAAGGATTAAGAGATGACCAGCAGGACAGTATGGGGGTTAGAAGGGTCGAGAGATGACCAGCAGGACAGTATGGGGTCAAGAGATGACCAGCAGGATAGTATGGTGGGTAGAAGGGTTAAGAGATGACCAACAGGACAGTATGGGGGTTAGAAGGGTCAAGAGATGACCAGCAGGACAGTATGGGGGTTAGAAGGATTAAGAGATGACCAGCAGGACAGTATGGGGGTTAGAAGGGTCGAGAGATGACCAGCAGGACAGTATGGGGGTCAAGAGATGACCAGCAGGATAGTATGGTGGGTAGAAGGGTTAAGAGATGACCAACAGGACAGTATGGGGGTTAGGGTCAAGCGATGACCAGCAGGACAGTATGGGGGTTAGAAGGGTCAAGCGATGACCAGCAGGACAGTATGGGGGTTAGAAGGGTCAAGACATGACCAGCAGGACAGTATGGGGGTTAGAAGGTCAAGAGATGACCAGCAGGACAGTATGGGGGTTAGAAGGGTCAAGACATGACCAGCAGGACAGTATGGGGGTTAGAAGGGTCAAGAGATGACCAGCAGGACAGTATGGGGGTTAGAAGGGTCAAGAGATGACCAGCAGGACAGTATGGGGGTTAGGAGGGTTAAGAGATGACCAGCCGGACAGTATGGTGGTTAGGAGGGTTAAGAGATGACCAGCAGGACAGTATGGGGGTTAGAAGGATTAAGAGAAGGCCAGCCGGACAGTATGGTGGTTAGGAGGGTTAAGAGATGACCAACAGGACAGTATGAGGGTTAGTGTGACCTTGTAGTAGTTGGGTCCTTGAGGACAGGGGCCTTATCTGCTTGGAGTTTGTATAGCCTCACCCCAGGTGATCTTATATTTACCCCCACTAAATACCCGTGTAAGGGGGAGCATATAACCTCCTCCCATAAAGCAGTGCCCAGGTATGAGTGGACAATGGAGGACCTCATCAGCCTTGTGTAGGCCCCAACACCATCCACCATGGGCCGTACAAGGGGGTTACTGACATGGTAAGGGGGGGAGGGGGCAGGAAAGGGCAGTATAGGATGGGTGGGGGGTGAGCTTCCAAGAGACCCTGTCACCTGGCTGTGTCTGATACCTGAATCAAGTTGATGGTTTTTTGGGGTGTCATGGCCCCCTGAATTAATAAAATAATCTTCCCGATAACAGGACATGGCAGCCATGATGATGGTGATGGACGTCAGTCCCGGGGACGTTGTACTCGAAGCCGGTTCTGGTTCCGGAGCGTTCAGTTTGTTTTTGTCCCGTGCAGGTAAATACGATGGACCTCCATTCTACCAACATTCTTCTAGCATAGTATACTGAAGAAGTGATCTCCAAACTGCGGCCCTGGGGCCAGATGCAGCCCTTTGCTTGTATTTATCTGGCCCTTGGGGCACTATTCCTCCCAGTGACACCAATAATGGGGCACTATTCCTCCCACTGACACCAATGATGGAGCACTATTCCTCCCACTGACACCAATGATGGGAGCACTATTCCTCCCACTGACACCAATGATGGGGCGCTATTCCTCCCAGTGACACCAATGATGGGGCGCTATTCTTCCCACCGACACCAATGATGGGGCGCTATTCCTCCCACCGACACCAATGATGGGGCGCTATTCCTCCCACCGACACCAATGATGGGCTATTCCTCCCACCGACACCAATGACGGGGCGCTATTCCTCCCACCGACACCAATGACGGGGCGCTATTCCTCCCACCGACACCAATGACGGGGCGCTATTCCTCCCACCGACACCAATGACGGGGCTCTATTCCTCCCACCGACACCAATGACGGGGCGCTATTCCTCCCACCGACACCAATGACGGGGCGCTATTCCTCCCACCGACACCAATGACGGGCGCTATTCCTCCCACCGACACCAATGACGGGGCGCTATTCCTCCCACCGACACCAATGACGGGGCGCTATTCCTCCCACCGACACCAATGACGGGGCGCTATTCCTCCCACCGACACCAATGACGGGGCGCTATTCCTCCCACCGACACCAATGACGGGGCGCTATTCCTCCCACCGACACCAATGACGGGGCGCTATTCCTCCCACCGACACCAATGACGGGGCGCTATTCCTCCCACCGACACCAATGACGGGGCGCTATTCCTCCCACCGACACCAATGACGGGCGCTACCTCCACCGACACCAATGACGGGGCGCTATTCCTCCCACCGACACCACACCTCCCACCAATGACGGGGCGCTATTCCTCCCACCGACACCAATGACGGGCGCTATTCCTCCCACCGACACCAATGACGGGGCGCTATTCCTCCCACCGACACCAATGACGGGGCGCTATTCCTCCCACCGACACCAATGACGGGGCGCTATTCCTCCCACCGACACCAATGACGGGCGCTATTCCTCCCACCGACACCAATGACGGGGCGCTATTCCTCCCACCGACACCAATGACGGGGCGCTATTCCTCCCACCGACACCAATGACGGGGCGCTATTCCTCCCACCGACACCAATGACGGGGCGCTATTCCTCCCACCGACACCAATGACGGGCGCTATTCCTCCCACCGACACCAATGACGGGGCGCTATTCCTCCCACCGACACCAATGACGGGGCGCTATTCCTCCCACCGACACCAATGACGGGGCGCTATTCCTCCCACCGACACCAATGACGGGGCGCTATTCCTCCCACCGACACCAATGACGGGGCGCTATTCCTCCCACCGACACCAATGACGGGGCGCTATTCCTCCCACCGACACCAATGACGGGGCGCTATTCCTCCCACCGACACCAATGACGGGGCGCTATTCCTCCCACCGACACCAATGACGGGGCGCTATTCCTCCCACCGACACCAATGACGGGGCGCTATTCCTCCCACCGACACCAATGACGGGGCGCTATTCCTCCCACCGACACCAATGACGGGGCGCTATTCCTCCCACCGACACCAATGACGGGGCGCTATTCCTCCCACCGACACCAATGACGGGGCGCTATTCCTCCCACCGACACCAATGACGGGGCGCTATTCCAATGAACCAAATGACGGGCGCTATTCCTCCCACCGACACCAATGACGGGGCGCTATTCCTCCCACCGACACCATTGACGGGGCGCTATTCCTCCCACCGACACCAATGACGGGACGCTATTCCTCCCACCGAGACACCAATGACGGGGCGCTATTCCTCCCACCGACACCAATGACGGGGCGCTATTCCTCCCACCGACACCAATGACGGGGCGCTATTCCTCCCACTGACACCAACTATGTGCCTTGTTTCTGCACATGCCCTGTTTCTAGGGGAAATATTCCCGGTTTTGGCCATCTGTTGGTGTCGGGGGGGTGCGCACACCGCATGGCGCCTAGAAATAATCGTTTTGAAAAATCTTACAAATGTGTAGCTCCCACCCGCCTCCATTGTGGGAAGCATGGACATTGATCTCGGGGTTTGTGTTCTCCTCTGTATCTCCTGTGGTCACTCCCCAGTGGGCTCAGACGGCGCCGTGTTCAGCTTCGAAGTGCGTGACGACCACCATGAAGTCTCCAAGAGGAACTTCCTGAACTGGAGGAAGGCGTGGAAGATTCGGAACGGTCGGACGTGGCCGGAAAATGTGCAATTCATCAACAAGAGCATCACAGACGCCACGCCCGACATCCAATCTGTGGCCTTCGATGCTGTGAGTATCACACTGATTGGCAGGTCAGAGACCTGGGCTGCCATTTTTATTTCTTCTGTTTATGGTGTTTTATATGTTTTGTTCCTCCGGGAGTGATGACCACCTGGCCACGTACTTACCTCCAGGTCCTGAGCCAACCATGGTGCCCCATTACAGCCCTTCCCCCAAAAATGGCCGCTTTGTACTGCGCATGCACACTATGGCCTCCATCATCCCTATGGGAAAGCTGTACTATGAGCGACGGCTCGAGGCCGCCATGACTACGGCTTTCCCTTCCCAACGAACGGGCTCATGGTGGGTCGCAGGAGAAAATTGGACATTTGTGGAGGAAGTTCTGGAGGCTGTCCAGTTGTGGAGACCCCAGATACAAACAGAACAAAACGATACAAAAAGATAAAAGAAATACAAAAAGATACAAAACGATACAAGACGATAGAACAAGTCCACAGACGGGAACAACAATGGTGAAACGTCTGGGGATACAGCGCCTTGAAAAAGTCTTCACACCCCTGAAATGTCCCCCATGTTGTCATGTTACAATGTATCCCCCCCCCCCCCCCGAAATGTCCCCCATGTTGTCACGTTACAATGTATTCCCCTCCCCCCCCACCGAAATGTCCCCCATGTTGTCACGTTACAATGTATCCCCCCCCCCCCCCCCGAAATGTCCCCCATGTTGTCATGTTACAATGTATTACCCCCCCCCCGAAATGTCCCCCATGTTGTCATGTTACAATGTATTACCCCCCCCCCCCCGAAATGTCCCCCATGTTGTCACGTTACAATGTCCCCCATGTTGTCATGTTACAATGTATTACCCCCCCCCCGAAATGTCCCCCATGTTGTCATGTTACAATGTATCCCCCCCTGAAATGTCCCCCATGTTGTCACGTTACAATGTATCCCCCCCCCCCCCTGAAATGTCCCCCATGTTGTCACGTTACAATGTTTCCCCCCCCCCCCCCCAATCCCCCCCCGAAATGTCCCCCATGTTGTCATGTTACAATGTATTACCCCCCCCCCTGAAATGTCCCCCATGTTGTCACGTTACAATGTATCCCCCCCCTGAAATGTCCCCCATGTTGTCATGTTACAATGTATTACCCCCCCCCCCCCGAAATGTCCCCCATGTTGTCATGTTACAATGTATTACCCCCCCCCCCCCCGAAATGTCCCCCATGTTGTCACGTTACAATGTATCTCCCCCCCCCCCCGAAATGTCCCCCCATGTTGTCACGTTACAATGTATCCCCCCCCCCCCTGAAATGTCCCCCATGTTGTCACGTTACAATGTATCCCCCCCCCCTGAAATGTCCCCCAATGTCCCCCATGTGTCATGTTACAATGTATTACCCCCCCCCCCCCCCGAAATGTCCCCCATGTTGTCACGTTACAATGTATCCCCCCCCGAAATGTCCCCCATGTTGTCATGTTACATTGTATTACCCCCCCCCCCCCTGAAATGTCCCCCATGTTGTCACGTTACAATGTATCCCCCCCCCCCCCGAAATGTCCCCCATGTTGTCATGTTACAATGTATTCCCCCCCCCCCCCTGAAATGTCCCCCATGTTGTCATGTTACAATGTATTCCCCCCCCCCCTGAAATGTCCCCCCATGTCATGTTACAATGTATTTCCCTCCCCCCTGAAATGTCCCCCATGTTGTCATGTTACAATGTATCCCCCCTCCCCCCCCCCCGAAATGTCCGCCATGTTGTCATGTTACAATGTATCCCCCCCCCCCTGAAATGTCCCCCATGTTGTCATGTTACAATGTATCCCCCCCCCCCGAAATGTCCCCCATGTTGTCACGTTACAATGTATCCCCCCCCCCCCCGAAATGTCCCCCATGTTGTCATGTTACAATGTATCACCCCCCCCCCCCGAAATGTCCCCCATGTTGTCATGTTACAATGTATCCCCCCCCTGAAATGTCCCCCATGTTGTCATGTTACAATGTATTACCCCCCCCCCCCGAAATGTCCCCCATGTTGTCATGTTACAATGTATTACCCCCCCCCCCCCCCCCGAAATGTCCCCCATGTTGTCATGTTACAATGTATTACCCCCCCCTCCTGAAATGTCCCCCATGTTGTCATGTTACAATGTATTCCCCTCCCCCCTGAAATGTCCCCCATGTTGTCATGTTACAATGTATTCCCCCTCCCCCCCTGAAATGTCCCCCATGTTGTCATGTTACAATGTATTCCCCCTCCCCCCGAAATGTCCCCCATGTTGTCATGTTACAATGTATTCCCCCCCCCCCCCCCCTGAAATGTCCCCCATGTTGTCATGTTACAATGTATTCCCCCCCCCCCTGTGTGTCCTGAAATGTCCCCCATGTTGTCATGTTACAATGTATTCCCCCCCCCCCCCCTGAAATGTCCCCCATGTTGTCATGTTACAATGTATTCCCCCCCCCCCCCCCCTGAAATGTCCCCCATGTTGTCATGTTACAATGTATTCTCCCCTCCCCCCCCCTGAAATGTCCCCCATGTTGTCATGTTACAATGTATTCCCCCCCCCCCCCTGAAATTTCCCCCATGTTGTCATGTTACAATGTATTCCCCCCTGAAATGTCCCCCATGTTGTCATGTTACAATGTATTCCCCCCCCCCCCCCCCCCCGAAATGTCCGCCATGTTGTCATGTTACAATGTATTCCCCCCCCCCAAAATGTCCCCCATGTTGCCATGTTACAATGTATTCCCCCCCCCTCCCCCCGAAATGTCCGCCATGTTGTCATGTTACAATGTATCCCCCCCCTCCCTGAAATGCCCCCCATGTTGTCATGTTACAATGTATTCCCCCTCCCCCCCATGTTGTCATGTTACAATGTATTCCCCCTCCCCCCCATGTTGCCATGTTACAATGTATTCCCCCTCCCCCCCATGTTGCCATGTTACAATGTATTATTTATTCCCCCCCTCCCCTGAAATGTCCCCCATGTTGCCATGTTACAATGTATTCCCCCCCTCCCCCATGAAATGTCCCCCATGTTGCCATGTTACAATGTATTACCCCCCCCCCTGAAATGTCCCCCATGTTGTCATGTTACAATGTATTCCCCTCCCCCCTGAAATGTCCCCCATGTTGCCATGTTACAATGTATTCCCCTCCCCCCTGAAATGTCCCCCATGTTGCCATGTTACAATGTATTCCCCCCCTCCCCCCTGAAATGTCCCCCATGTTGCCATGTTACAATGTATTATCCCCCCCCCTGAAATGTCCCCCATGTTGCCATGTTACAATGTATTATCCCCCCCCCCCCCGAAATGTCCCCCATGTTGCCATGTTACAATGTATTATCCCCCCCCCCCCCCCGAAATGTCCCCCATGTTGCCATGTTACAATGTATTATCCCCCCCCCTGAAATGCCCCCCATGTTGTCATGTTACAATGTATTCCCCCTCCCCCCCATGTTGTCATGTTACAATGTATTCCCCCTCCCCCCCATGTTGCCATGTTACAATGTATTATTCCCCCCCCTCCCCTGAAATGTCCCCCATGTTGCCATGTTACAATGTATTCCCCCCCTCCCCCATGAAATGTCCCCCATGTTGCCATGTTACAACGTATTATCCCCCCCCCTGAAACGTCCCCCATGTTGTCATGTTACAATGTATTCCCCTCCCCCCTGAAATGTCCCCCATGTTGCCATGTTACAATGTATTCCCCCCCCCCTCCCCCCTGAAATGTCCCCCATGTTGCCATGTTACAATGTATTATCCCCCCCCCCCCCTGAAATGTCCCCCATGTTGCCATGTTACAATGTATTACCCCCCCCCCCCCCCCCAGCAGCTGACTGTGTTTCATGTTAGTATTATAAAATTGTTAACGTTTGGGCTGGAATTCCCTGTAACTACAGCAGCTTCCATAAGGCGCTCTCTTCCCTTCTGTAGGCTGTTCTGGACATGCTGAACCCACAAGTGGCCCTTCCGGTAATAATGGGGAACCTGAAGCAGGGAGCCGTGTGTGCCGTGTACATCACAAAGTAAGTGTGAAGGCTACTTCTGGAGCGTGCAAACCTAACATCTCATGGATCCGTGTCTTTGCTGCCCCTGTTATACTTATCACCCTTCCTGGAAACGAACTCACCAACCCTTCCCCCTCCCGTGAATTTACCCCCCCCTCACCCTCCCGAGGATTTACCCCCCCCCCCTCACCCTCCTGAGGATTTACCCCCCCCCCCCCTCACCCTCCGAGGATTTACCCCCCCCCCGTCACCCTCCTGAGGATTTACCCCCCCCCCCCCCCCCTCACCTTCCTGAGGATTTACCCCCCGCCTCATCCTCCTGAGGATTTACAACCCCTGCCTGACCCGGACATTTTTTTCAATATGGCACTGCGTTACTTTAACTGACAGTTGCGCGGAACTCATGCAGCGCTGCACCTGAATTAAATTTACATCCTTTTTCCCCACGAATTGAGTTTTCTTTCGGTGGTATTTGATCGCCTGTGCAGTTTTTATTTTTTACGCTATAAAAAAAAAAAAAAAAAGTGACAATTTTGAGAATAAAAAACTATATTTTTGACTTCTTGCTATTAACATTAAGTTATCCACATGGGAGTGCTGCCAATGCGGGGGGGCCTTTCTAAACGTCCCCCCGCATCCATTGCCTGTGCGCACTTCCTGGGATCCAGTGACCGCTGTGTGTCCGGAGAACGCAGATTGTCTTACGGGACTTCTGTGTGAGGTTCCAATCGTGATCACTCATTGGCCAATCAGTGATCACATGAACAGTAGTAGACAAGATGTCACTTCTGACATCATTGCTTACTACATGTGAAATCTGTGAATGATCACAGAGGTCACATGGTACAGGGCTATTCACAACAGCCTTGTACCATGTGACCATCTGTGACCAATCACAGCTCACACAGTATTTCTCAATGGATGCAGGAATGCAGCCAGAGAGGAGAAATAATTGTACAGCCTTCATGGGTGTAAAAACAATCGGTGTAAAAAAAAAAAGAAAGAAAAAATCTTCATCACCCCCACAAGTGGTAGTGTCACCATGGTGTCACTGTACTGCTAGGGTGACAATATGTTAAAAAAAATAAATAAATAATGTAAAAAAAAGAAATTTAGAAAAATTATAGTTTTTGGTTATAAACTAATTTGGGTTATTGTTTGTTTTTTGTTTTTTTACTAAAAAGATCGCTGAATACATTTTGGTCCAGATTTATGAAGAAAGATTATTTATTTGCAAAATGTTATAAGAAAAACACTTTTGTTTCCCAAATTTTTGGACTTTTTCATTTATATAGCAAAAAATAAAAAATCCCAGCGATGAATAAAATACCAGCAAAATAAAACTTTGTCTCAAAAAAATGCTAAAAAATTAATATGGGTACAGTGTTGCATGACCGCGCAATTGTCATTCAAAGTGTGGTAGTGCTGAAAGCTGAAAATTGGTCTGGGGGGGAAGGGGGGGAAAGTGTCCGGACTGGAAGGGGGGGGGGGGGGGGGAAGCGTCCGGACTGGAAGGGGGGGAAAGTGTCCAGACTGGAAGGGGGGGAAAGCGTCCGGACTGGAAGGGGGGGGAAAGTGTCCAGACTGGAAGGGGGGGAAAGCGTCCGGACTGGAAGGGGGGCAAAGCGTCCGGCCTGGAAGGGGGTGAAAGCGTCCGGACTGGAAGGGGGTGAAAGCGTCCGGACTGGAAGGGGGTGAAAACGTCCGGACTGGAAGGGGGGGGAAAGCGTCCGGACAGGAAGGGGGGGAAAGCGTCCGGACAGGAAGGGGGGGAAAGCGTCCGGACTGGAAGGGGGGGAAAGCGTCCGGACTGGAAAGGGGGGGAAAGCGTCCGGACAGGAAGGGGGGCAAAGCGTCCGGACTGGAAGGGGGGGAAAGCGTCCGGACAGGAAGGGGGGGAAAGCGTCCGGACTGGAAGGGGGGGAAAGCGTCCGGACTGGAAGGGGGGGGAAAGCGTCCGGACTGGAAGGGGGGGAAATTTGGGAGAAAGCGTCCGGACAGGAAGGGGGGGAAAGCGTCCGGACTGGAAGGGGGGGAAAGCGTCCGGACAGGAAGGGGGGGGGAAAGCGTCCGGACTGGAAGGGGGGGGGGGGAAAGCGTCCGGACTGGAAGGGGGGGAAAGCGTCCGGACTGGAAGGGGGTGAAAGCGTCCGGACTGGAAGGGGGTGAAAGCGTCCGGACTGGAAGGGGGTGAAAGCGTCCGGACTGGAAGGGGGGGAAAGCGTCCGGACTGGAAGGGGGGGAAAGCGTCCGGACAGGAAGGGGGGGAAAGCGTCCGGACAGGAAGGGGGGGAAAGCGTCCGGACAGGAAGGGGGGGAAAGCGTCCGGACAGGAAGGGGGGGGAAAGCGTCCGGACAGGAAGGGGGGGAAAGCGTCCCGGGACAGGAAGGGGGGGAAAGCGTCCGGACAGGAAGGGGGGGAAAGCGTCCGGACTGGAAGGGGGGGAAAGCGTCCGGACTTTAAGGGGGGCGGAAGCGTCCGGACTGGAAGGGGGGGGGAAAGCGTCCGGACTGGAAGGGGGGGGGAAAGCGTCCGGACTGGAAGGGGGGGAAAGCGTCCGGACTGGAAGGGGGGGAAAAGCGTCCGGACTGGAAGGGGGGGAAAGCGTCCGGACTGGAAGGGGGGGAAAGCGTCCGGACTGGAAGGGGGGGAAAGCGTCCGGACTGGAAGGGGGGGAAAGCGTCCGGACTGGAAGGGGGTGAAAGCGTCCGGACTGGAAGGGGGTGAAAGCGTCCGGACTGGAAGGGGGTGAAAGCGTCCGGACTGGAAGTGGTTAAACATGTCCAGTAAAAAAATTTAAAAAATCAAATTTCGTCATAAATTTCGGCCAAAATGTCTCCCGCTCCGTGTCTTTGCTAAACAAAAAAATCCCGATACGTGTAAATTAATTGGTTTATGTGAAAGTTATAGCGTCTACAAATGGCGGATAGATACTGGAATTCTTTTATTGTTTTTTACTAGTAATGGCGGCGATCAGCGACTTATAGCGGGACTGCAGCAGACATTCTGACTGACTTGGTGTCACTGACATCCCCAGTGACACCAATACAGTGATCAGTGCTAACAAAAGCCCTGACACTGTACTTATGGCACTGGGCAGGAAGGGGTTAACATGAGGGGCAATCAAAGGGTTAACTGTGTGCTGGGAGTGTTTTACTAGGGGGCGGGGTCTGTGTGCTTTACTGTAATCACACTGCTCTGGATGGCTGTGCTGTGCACCCGAGCTGACAGGGAGGAGAATTGTTTTGTTTACAAACAGTTCTCCTCCCCATTGGAGATGCCCGGCAATCACCAGGCGCAGGCGAGTAATCACTGGGCGGGACCTGGTGATTGGCAGTGCAGGTAGGGGGCGCGCGCCCCCAACCTGGAAGTGCAAGATCATGTATATATACGTGATTTTGCGCACTCATGCTGCCCTGTGGCAGTATTTCTGCTATAGGGCGGTCTGTACAGAGGGAATGTCCTCTCTGTTTTGGGGCTGAGATACTTCGAGATCCCTTACTAAAAGCAGGCACACTTTTTTCGGGAACGTCACCAAGGGAATTCACTTACATGACACTGTTCCCGATGGGGCTCTAGAGAGGGGCTAATGACTTCACCGGGAGCAGTGCCATCTCAGTGAATTCCCATGGTATCTACAGAACCAATGGTACCACTTGCAACAACGTTGTTCTGTGATAAAATATGTTGGGCGGAGCTAATGGGCGGTGATGTCATCATATGTTGAACAGGACGGATGGACTCAGAAGTGCTTAAAAAATATTGCTGGGAGAAGCGCTGTTGCCCTGAGCGTTCGGACGCCTCATGGGACATGTAGTTCTGATTTCACGCTAGGAAAACTCAAGACGTGTCCAGATCCTACATCTGGAACCAATGGTGTCACACAGGGGCGGACTGACCAGTTGGAAACTCGGGCACTGCCCGAGGGCCTGGGGTCAGTAGGGGGCCCCATCAGATGCCCCTGGTACCTTTTTCATAGGCTTTTTTTTTGTTTGGGCAAGGACACAGGGGCCCGATGATCCCCTATTGCCCGGGGGCCCCATGAGTTGTCAGTCCGCCCCTGGTGTCACACAAAAAATAAAAAACAATGATTGCACAAAAACTAAAGCATTAAAAATAGACTATTGTGGAGTGGAAAAGGGAGATGAGGGTGAAAGGTGTCGGGGATCACGGAGGAGCTCAGCTTACTTTTGTATTGTCTGAAAACAGGACATCGGCTGGGATTCCCCTTTTTAAACCGTTTTGTGCTCTTTGTTGTGTCTCTATCAGCATCACGCAGGTCGTTGACCTCCTGGAGGGAATTAGGACCTGCAAGCTTCCCCTGATGTGTGAAAAGATTATAGAGGTCAGTGTCACGGACTGGTTGGTGGCGCCATCTGTACGCAAAGATGGCAGACTTTCCAAGAGGGTGGAGCCTCAAACACTGGAACGGCTTGATCAAGAGGAAGAAGAGGATGATGATGAAGCAGATGGTAAGATTCTACAGGTTGCCAGCAGAACATATATTCATGAAAGGCTCGCTAACCAATAGTGATGCAGTTTTGGATGATGTAGAGTCAAGAGTATAGAAAAACTAAAAATCCTCCTGCGCCGATCCGGAAATATCCAACCAATAGCGGCCAACACCCAATAATAATACCAATCAGAACAAAAAAGGAAAATGAATGGTGCAGCGCTAACTACAAAAGTGAACAAAAATAAATGTGTATCCATATAATCATAAAGTGCTAATAAATCAACAAACCAAAAATATACATAAAACAAAGTGCTAATCAGAACCGTGATATAAGTGGACAATACTAGTGTACGGGTCACCTTAGCGACCTAAAAACAGTGATAAACACACAATATATAATGAGATAAACTGGAGTTAAGTGTCCTCAGTAATAATCAAAAACCTTTTAAAGCAAATACTAATAAGTCCATAAAGGCCAGAGTACTGGGTGTCATTCTGGACCCCAACCTATCCTTCCAGCCCCAAGTCCAATCTTTAACAAACTCGTGCAGACTCCGCCTCCGCAACATGCAGACTCCGCCTCCGCAACATGCAGACTCCACCTCCGCAACATCGCCAAAATCCGCACGTTCCTAACTCCAGAAACCACTAAACAGCTCATCCACTCCCTCATCATATCACGACAACTGCAACTCCCTCCTCACTGGCCTGCCTCGCCGCTGGCTATCCCCGCTTCAGTCCATCCTGAATACGGCTGCCAGACTCATTCACCTTTCCAACCGCTCCATCTCCGCCACCCCCCCTCTGCCAATCCCTCCACTGGCCTCCACTCAGTGTCCTCCACCCCCCTCTGCCAATCCCTCCACTGGCCTCCACTCAGTGTCCTCCACCCCCCTCTGCCAATCCCTCCACTGGCCTCCACTCAGTGTCCTCCACCCCCCTCTGCCAATCCCTCCACTGGCCTCCATTCAGTGTCCTCCACCCCCCTCTGCCAATCCCTCCACTGGCCTCCACTCAGTGTCCTCCACCCCCCTCTGCCAATCCCTCCACTGACCTCCACTCAGTGTCCTCCACCCCCCTCTGCCAATCCCTCCACTGGCCTCCATTCAGTGTCCTCCACCACCCTCTGCCAATCCCTCCACTGGCCTCCACTCAGTGTCCTCCACCCCCCTCTGCCAATCCCTCCACTGGCCTCCATTCAGTGTCCTCCACCCCCTCTGCCAATCCCTCCACTGGCTTCCAATTGCGCAACGGATCAAATTCAAAATCCTAACACTGACATACAAAGCCGTCCACCATACTGCCCCGAGCTACATCACTGACCTAATATCCAAGTACCGCCCAACACGCACACTCCGCTCCTCACAAGACCTCCTTCTCTCTAGTTCCCTGGTCTCCTCCTCCCATGCCCGCCTCCAGGACTTCTCCAGGGTATCACCCATCCTCTGGAACTCCCTGCCCCAACCCATCAGATTATCACCTACTCTCCTCTCCTTCTTTAGGCGCACCCTGAAAACCCATCTCTTCAGGGAAGCCTACCCCACCCCCTGCTAACTTGCCGATCTCCTCCACTCTTCCTACCACTCCATCCCCCACAGCTATCTCCTCCTGTGCCACCATCCCCTCCCTCCTAGATTGTAAGCTCCAAGGAGCAGGGCCCTCAATCCCCTCATGTTTTGCATTGTATTGGTATTGTTCTGTCACATGTTCTGTCCCCCTTTGTAATGTATAGAGCTGAGCGAACTATTATAAATACTGTATAATAATAATAATAATAAAGTAACAAGTGCTGATAAAACACCATGCGATGTGTTAGACGTGAACCCTTCCTGCAAGTGCCGGCACACTTTAAATCCACTCCAGCTGCAGTGCCTCCTGACCTCCTTCCTGTGACCCAAAAGGGCCCAACAAGCATTCAGGATCACTCTGGATCCTTTATATCTCCGGCTAATACCTCTCCAGAAAGCCAAGGATCATAAACGGTCTCCTGTTCAGCCTCCAAATGCTTCCTCCTCTGCCTTTTATAAGGATACTCTGTAGGGTATATTACTAACAATCCCAGCGAGTAATAAAAAGATCCACAAACATGCCACAAAGCCACCAGGCAGACCAACCACGTGGCAGCATCAGACCATGTGCAAGACAAACTTTGTGGCATTTTTGTGGATCTTTTTATTACTCGCTGGGATTGTTAGTAATATACCCTACAGAGTATCCTTATAAAAGGCAGAGGAGGAAGCATTTGGAGGCTGAACAGGAGACCGTTTATGATCCTTGGCTTTCTGGAGAGGTATTAGCCGGAGATATAAAGGATCCAGAGTGATCCTGAATGCTTGTTGGGCCCTTTTGGGTCACAGGAAGGAGGTGAGGAGGCACTGCAGCTGGAGTGGATTTAAAGTGTGCCGGCACTTGCAGGAAGGGTTCACGTCTAACACATTGCATGGTGTTTTATCAGCACTTGTTACTTTATGGACTTATTAGTATTTGCTTTAAAAGGTTTTTGATTATTACTGAGGACACTTAGCACCAGTTTATTCCATTATATATTGTGTGTTTATCACTGTTTTTAGGTCGCTAAGGTGACCCGTACACTAGTATTGTCCACTTTATATCACGGTTCTGATTAGCACTTTATTGTTTTATGTATATTTTTGGTTTGTTGATTTATTAGCACTTTATGATTATATGGATACACATTTATTTTTATTCACTTTTGTAGTTATGTCAGGGCAGGGCTGTGGAACGGACAGGTAGGCCTAGTGGCAGGGTAACGCACTGGCTGACGACAACCACCACCAACAGACCGAAGTCCCTCAGGGCGCGGAGTCTAAGTCCCAGGCTGCCCTTCACCAGGGCCCCTGATGGTGGGGATGGACTTGATGCAGCCAGGAACCACGTCGCGGCCCCCCCGAGACACCCCGGCTGCGGTAATGGCCGCCGCCAATGGTGTGTAGCTGGTGAGAATGACAATAGCGTAGTCAGGCAAGCCGGGTCAACAACAACGGGACAAAACGGTACAGAACAGTAGACAGAGAATCGCAGGTCACGGGCCAGGTTCAGCAACGGAAGGTCAGATCAAAGGAAAAACACAGAGAATGGTCTTAGTCACAAGCCGAGTCAGATACCAGGAGAGTCACGAGAGTATACACAGAGCTGTAGCAAGACAAAGACACAAGACACAAGTGCAAAGAGCATGTGCGGATCACAGGCTTATATGTACTCAGCCCACACCCCTCTGGGGGATGGACCTCAGAGACCTGAAGGCATAAAAGATTCCCATCATGCTCAGCAGAAATCCAAGATGGATGCCAGCACATGGAGTAACATAACCTCTGGGAAAAGGTAGGACCTTGACAAGTTAGCGCTGCACCATTCAGAGTCGAGTATGTCACCTTTTTTATTTTTTCTCACTTTTCACTTTTTTTTTTTATAAGTAGGGAATGGTTAAAATTCCTGTGTGCCATTGGGGTGGGGATTCCCTTCAGTTCTGTCCTGTGTGACTGGTTTAAGCTCTGGCCTGACTGAGTGGTTTCAGTTATGGTCTGGTTGAGTGGTTTCGGTTCTGGCCTGTGGTTTCGGTTCTGGCCTGTGGTTTCGGTTCTGGCCTGTGGTTTCAGTTCTGGCCTGGTTGACTAGTTTGAGCTCTGGCCTGCTTGACTGGTTTGAGTTTTGGACTCGTTGACTGGTTTGAGCTCTAGCCTGGTTGACTGGTTTGGGTTCTGGCCTGGTTGACTGGTTTCAGTTCTGGCCTGGTTGACTGGTTTGAGCTTTGGTCTGGTTTACTTGTTTAGGTTCTGGCCTGGTTGACTTGTTTTAGGTTCTGGCCTGGTTGACTTGTTTAGGTTCTGGCCTGGTTGACTAGTTTCGGTGCTGGCCTGGTTGACTAGTTTTTCGGTTCTGGCCTGGTTGATTAGTTTTGGTTCTGGCCTGGTTGACTGCTTTCAGTTCTGGCCTTGTTGACTGGTTTTGATTCTGGTTCGGTTGAGTGGTTTCGGTTCTGGCCTGGTTGAGTGGTTTCAGTTCTGGCCTGGTTGACTGGTTTGATCTCTGGCCTGGTTGACTGGTTAGAGCTCTGGCCTGGTTGGTGTGGGTTCTTGCTTGACTAAATAGTTTGAGTTCTGGCCTCGCTGACTGCTTTGAGTTCTGGCCTCGCTGACTGGTTTGAGTTCTGACCTCGCTGACTGCTTTGAGTTCTGGCCTCGCTGACTGCTTTGAGTTCTGGCCTCGCTGACTGGTTTGAGTTCTGACCTCGCTGACTGGTTTGAGTTCTGGCCTCGCTGACTGCTTTGAGTTCTGGCCCGGCTCACTTGGCAGGCAAGCTTGAACATGTATCACAATATATATATATATATATATATATATATATATATATATAATCAACCAAGAATCCCTATTTTTATGCAAAAAAAATGCTATAAATAGTGTATAGCAAGGGTGAATAGCAGTGTGCACAGCATTCATTCAGTATTTCAGGTCTAGTAGTTTACACAAGATGAGGTAACTCGTGCTTTCAGTTCAGCCCACAGGAAGTAGCATGGGCACTGCATTTACGGCAGGATCAACAGGTATTTTCTGTACATGCTGAAAGGGTTCTTAGCCTAAAAACAAATGCAGTCACCCCAGCGAATGACTGGTAAGCTGAAATATTTTAGATGCTCAGTCTTCAGCTTAGAGATACATGACAGTATTTACCTTCCTATTACAGGAACCACCATTTCATTGTACCTTCCATTCAGTATTTTTGTTTTCTTCCTGTAGAGGGCGATGAATGGCAAGCTGGATCGGAGGCATTTGGACAAGTGCCTTACATTGCTCGGCCTCTTCCTTGGCAAACAGGACACACGGGTAAGTACGGGACATTCTGTTTTCAAGACTAAGAACAACATGAAAGGAAAGATGGTGTTGCTGCCCATAAAATCCATGGAATTTCCTTTCATAGCTTGTGCTAGAGGAATGGCGGCTGCCTTCTCATTCCTTGCCATTAGGAGCAGATAACTTTTTGTTTTCGCCCTTTTTAACCACCTCCCGTCCGGCCGTTGTATATAAACGGCCTCCATGCTTGTGCGCGCTCCCGGGGAGAGCGCAGCACCGCGATCCAGTGCCCGCTGTGTCCTCCGGACACAGTGGAACACCAATTGTCGGACGGGACCTCTGTGCAAGGTCCCGATCATGTGATCACTGATTGGCCCCAAACCTCCTCTTCTTGGGTCTCCCGCTGGTGCTCATGGCTCCTCCTCTCTGTCCAGTGTCCCATGGGAAGCTGCTGCCCATGGGGGCACTTGTTTGCGCTCGCACGTGAGCGCCCCTGCTGCATCCACTGACACAGACAGCGCCCCCTGCTCCTTCATCATTGGCTTTGATTGACAGCATTGGCTGCCACTGCCCCAGCACAGCCAGTGAGACCTGGAAGTGAGGGGAGAGAAGAGCTGCAGATGTGAACAGCGCTGGATTGAATGAGGGCTCAGGTAGGTAAGGGGGTTGAGGGGCCAAAACCAATGCCCAAACATTCTTTACCTTTAATGCAAGGAATGCCCAAAGGTAAAAAAAAGGTTTAGGCTTTAGAACCAACTTGTTTCCATATAGATAGATAGAGAGATAGATATATATACAGTTGTACTCAAAATAATAGCCGTGTGTTGAAAAAAGTGACTAAAGCTGAAAATCCTTCTAATAGCTTTTATTTCCATCCACACAAATGCATTGGGAACACGACACATTCTATTCCAAATCACAACATGAAGAAAAATACATCAAATTTGTGTTGTTCCTCTAAAAAAATGGAAGAAAAGTGAATATTAGACGGTTCATAATAATCGCAGTGTTTGTATTCTTCTTTACAAACTCCAACATTCACTATATAAACTGAGAAATGTTTGAAGATTTTGCTTTCCTTTGAATGACTTCATGAATATTTGGTTGTAGTCGCACTGTTTCTGAGAACTGCTGTACATCTGTGTTGCATGGAGTCCCCCAACTTCTGGCCCCTGTGATCAGGTATTCCAGCCCAGGATGATTGGACCACATTCCACAGTTCTTCTCTATTTCTTGGTTTGGCCTCAGAAACTGCATTTTTGATGTCACCCCACAAGTTTTCTATTGGATGAAGATCCGGGGATTGGGCTGGCCACTCCATAACGTCCACCTTGTTGGTCTGGAACCAAGATGTTGCCCGTTTACTGGTGTGTTTGGGGGTCGTTGTCTTGTTGGAACACCCATTTCAAGGGCATTTCCTCTTCAGCATAAGGCAGCATGACCTCTTCAAGTATTCTGATGGATTCAAACTGATCCATGATCCCTGGTATGCAATAAATAGGCCCAACACCGTAGTATGAGAAACATCCCCATATCATGATGCTTGCACCACCATGCTTCACAGTCTTCACAGTGTACTGTGGCTTGAATTCAGTGTTTGGGGGTCGTCTGACAAACTGTCTCCGCCCACTAGACCCAAAAACAACAATCTTACTTCCATCAGTCCACAAAATGTTGCGCCATTTCTCTTTAGGCCAGTCAATGTGCTCTTTGGCAGATTGTAACCTCTTCAGCACACGTCTTTTTCCCAACAGTGGGACTTTGCGGGGACTTCTTGCAGATAGCTTGGCTTCACATCGACGTCTTCTAATTGTAACAGTCCTCACAGGGAACGTCACACCTTCTTTCATCTTCCTGGAGCTGATTGTTGGCTGAGTCCTCACAGGGAACGTCACACCTTCTTTCATCTTCCTGGAGCTGATTGTTGGCTGAGTCCGCCCCATTTTGGCTATTCTTCTATCCATTCCAATGGTAGTTTTTCGCTTTCTTCCACGTCTTTCAGGTTTTGGTTGCCATTTTAAAGCATTTGCCATCATTTTAGCTGAGCAGCCGATCATTTTCTGTACTTCTTTATATGTTTTCCCCTCCAATCAACTTTGTAATCAAGGTACGCTGTTCTTCTGAACAATGTCTGGAACGACCCATTTTCCTCAGAATTTCAGAGAGAAATGCACTGTAACCAGCATGTCCAACATTTGCTGCCTTCCTTTCTTCCTTAAATAAGGGCAATAATTGCCTCCTGTTTTTCAAAGAATGAATGACGTCACTAATAGAACTCCACACGGCTATTATTGTGAACACGCCCCTTTCAATGAGTGATTCAATGACACAGAATCAGCAGCATGCATGTCATGACTGTTGGGTCTGTTGGATTTCTATGACTCTACTACACCTGCTAGGAAATTATCTGCCATGTAGAAATATCATTTCCACCAAAAACAGCGATTGATCCGGTTAGTGATGTCTGACTGCTAGTATTTTGAACACAACTGTATATACTTACCTGCTGTGTGTAGTAGTTTTGCACAGAGCTGCCCTGAACTTCTTCTTTTCCGATCCCCCGCTGGTGCTCCTGGCTCCTCCCCCCTTGAGCAGTGCCCCCAAAGAAAGCTGCTTGCCACGGGGGCACCGCTCTCCCGAACCACTGCTCTATGCCCTTTAAAGCAGAGTTACAGACGTTTTTGTGTTTTTAAAGTCAGCATCTACAAAAACTGTATCTGTTGACTTTTAATAAACACGCACTTACCTGCCTGTCCCGGGGTCCAGCGATGTTCTCCCCCGCGCCGTCCCTTCTCCCCTTCACGGCGCCAGCATCTCTACTGTGGGCACCCGGCTGTGACAGGTTGCGGCTTTACAGCCCGGTGCCCACGCAAGAGTCGCGCTGCGCCTCCTGATTGGTCCGGCAGTCTCTTGGGACCTGTGAAAGTTCCCAGGAGACTGCGGGAGGGAGGAGGGGGCCAAACTTCCAGCCGCGGCGAACTCGGAAGTCGAACTCAAGTCGGAAGTGGGAGCGGGTGCCCAGGGCCATGGATAAGGGGGTACAACTGGTCCTCCTGTATGGGGCCCAGGCCAACAGGGGTGAATTTACCGAAAGCTGCGATAGGATCATTCAGGATGGAGAATGGAGGAAGTGTCCAGTTACCAGCCCCTTCCTTACCTGAATGAACACAATGAGTGATCAGTACCCAATCACACATTGTGTTCATTTATAACTGAAGCATAGTAAACTGTTTTTTTTTGTTTGTTTTTTTTGGAGAAGGGGGCCCTGTCAGGTTGGCTGTATGGGGCCCCGTGGTTTCTAACAGCAGCCCTGCATGTACCTGTCAAAACCAGGTCCCGCTCCCCCCCCTAAAGGTGCCAAATATGGCAGTAGAGGGGGGGAAGAGTGGAGATTCAGCTTTTGAGTGGAACCCTGCTTTAAGACACACAGAGCCACGCCCCTCCCACTCTCTCCTTATTGGCTCTCTGGCTGTGGTTGACAGCAGTGGGAGCCAATGGGGGGAGAGAATCCCCCAACAGCTAAGGCTATTGTGAACATCGCTGGATCAGACGGGGCTCAGGTAAGGATTGAGGGGGGGGGGGTGGGGGGTTTGGGGGGGGGGGGGGGCGCTGCACACAGAAGGTTTTTTGGAACCTTTTAGAACCACTTAAAAACTTTCATGTTACTGTGACCAATGGCCATTGCCGTTCATCGGGATTGATTTCTTTTCTAGCCTTTCTTGTGCACCTGAGGAAATGTAATCCGGCGCCACCGATGGATCCGGAAGATTCCAGCTGACGCCGAGGACTTTATTATGTATATTAGTATTATTATTATGTGTACATAGCTCCATTTTTATTTTATTTTTACAATATTCAGCATACATCGACCTCAATAAAGTAACTAATATCGTCTCTTACTTTTTGTGTATTCTTTATTCCGGAGAACAAGATTCCTAACGCTGACATTCTGCCCAACGAGGATATGACTGCCATAGTCAGTGCCGTATAACAAACCGCAGCGTGGCAGTGACAACAGAGTAATAATAAAGTGCTAACGACGACCCGGAGCTGCTGCTAGCGCTTGTAGGATCAGAAGTGTCTGGAGGATCATTGCACCCAAATACTGGGGAAGATAGGAGGGAAGGTGACGGAGTGGGGTAGTGGCATTGGGCGTGAAGGAATGGGGGGGTTGGATGGGAGGTATAAAGGAAGCGGTAACTTCTCCAACAACGGGTCGTTGTTTAGGATTTCTCTATGCTGGGGGGGGGGGGGGGGGGGGGGGGGGGGGTAAAATCATTCCAGTAAAACCTTTTTTTTTTTTCCTTTTTTTTTTTTTTTTTTTTTTTTGATTCCAACGTTTACTACAACTGCTATAAATATTCTGTAACCTTCATTATTTCATGTGGTGCAGCCAAAATCTACTTGCTGTGTGAGAACCACTCTATGGACTTGTCTTGGGATCCCGGGCCTCCCTCTCCTCGCATTTTCTTGGTTAACTGAAAATAATACAAATAAGTAGAACGTCAAATTCACTGGGACTGTTGAGGGAAATGTAACGAAACCCCAACCAAAGCGTTTCCCGTGCAGGGGCGGACTGACAACTCATGGGGCCCCCCGGGCAATAGGGGATCATGGGGCCCCTGTGTCCTTGCCCAAACTCAAAAAAGCCTATGAAAAAGGTACCAGGGGCATCTCATGGGGCCCCTACTGACCCCGGGGGCCCTCGGGCAGTGTCCGAGTTTCCAAATGGTCAGTCCGCCCCTGCACCTGTGTTTGTAGGGACTGTCGAGGGCAATGTAACGAAACCCCAACCAAAGCGTTTCCCGTGTTTGTAGGGGACTATCGAGGAAAAGGTAACCAAACCCCAACCAAAGCGTTTCCCGTGTTTGTAGGGACCGTTGAGGGAAATGTAACGAAACCCCAACCAAAGCGTTTCCTGTGTTTGTAGGGACTGTCGAGGGAAATGTAACGAAACCCCAACCAAAGCATTTTCCGTCACCGTGTTTGTAGGACTGTTGAGGGAAATGTAACGAAACCCCAACCAAAGCGTTTCCCGTGTTTTTAGGGACCGTTGAGGGAAATGTAACGAAACCCCAACCAAAGCGTTTCCCGTGTTTGTAGGGACTATCGAGGAAAAGGTAACCAAACCCCAACCAAAGCGTTTCCCGTGTTTGTAGGGACTATCGAGGAAAAGGTAACGAAACCCCAACCAAAGCGTTTACCGTTTTGTAGGGACCGTTGAGGGAAATGTAACGAAACCCCAACCAAAGCGTTTCCTGTGTTTGTAGGGACTGTCGAGGGAAATGTAACGAAACCCCAACCAAAGCATTTCCCGTCACCGTGTTTGTAGGGACTGTTGAGGGAAATGTAACGAAACCCCAACCAAAGCGTTTCCTGTGTTTGTAGGGACCGTCGAGGGAAATGTAACGAAACCCCAACCAAAGCGTTTCCTGTGTTTGTAGGGACTGTTGAGAGAAATGTAACGAAACCCCAACCAAAGCATTTCCTGTGTTTGTAGGGACTGTTGAGAGAAATGTAACGAAACCCCAACCAAAGCGTTTCCCGTGTTTGTAGGGACTGCACCTAGCTGGCACGTCGTAGATTTTTTAAAAAAAATTCTTCATTACTTAATTTTTTGGCTTTAGAAGTCCAGGCCTTGTCCCGGTCCCATGCGCTCACCTCGGCAGCTCCCGCGTGCGCACAAACACCAAACACATTCCCTGAGGGCTCCAAGCTGTAGGTGCGGTTGTGTTGGGTGTCGTTCTATCAGCTTAGGGTCTGAAGGGAGGAGATATTCTAAGGTGACAACAACGCTGCTTCTGATTAGGGAGCTGCTCAGAAAAGCTTTGTCACCTTAGTAATGGAAGCCAAGGTAATGTCCTTAGGAGTGCCATGTTCAACCTCCATTTTGCTGGAAATGTGTCCTGACCCGGCCTAGAGACAAATGAAGGCCGGGGTGGGACATTCACTGTTCTGGGTGGACATTACATACTTAGTCTGGCTGAAAAAAAGACAAAAGTCCATCCAGTTCAACCATTAAAAAAAAAGAAAATTTATAATCCTCCACCCACAGTTGATCCAGAGGAAGGCAAAAAAACCCAGCAAAGCACGATCCAATTTGCTCCTGCAGGGGAAAAAAAATTCCTTCCTGAACCCCCGAGAGGCAATCGGATATTCCCTGGATCACCTTTCCCTATAAATGTTATATAATTCCGCTCATTAGATACACAAGTGGTGGAGGATGCGGGAACCGCAATAAATCAGCACCACTTGTAGAAGAGCCAAAAAGGAAATTTCACAATTCTTTGCCTCAACCTGTACCCATCCTATGTAGTATATACAAAATTTAGATGGTAAACAGCCAGTCTGAGCCAAGTGGGGAATTTGTGACCCATCCTGGAATGTGCACCACGGGCCGCAGTGCGATCTGTCACGGTGTACCAGCCGCTGTCGGTACCATGTGATCGCTGTGACTGATCACATGACAGTTGTACACAATGGATGACTTTCATTCTCATGACACCCATTCTGGGTTTATTTACTAAAGATGGGGAGTGCAAAATCAGGTTCATGAATCCCCAGCTTCCAGGTTTTATTGCCAAAGCTTATTTGACCAAGCTGAGGTGTAGAAGCTGATTGGCTGCCGTGCACAACTGCAGCAGATTCTGAGTGAACCAGTTTTAGTAATCCCCCCCCCCCCCTCCTATTGTGTTGAAACTCTGATGGTCACAGTTATGCCAATCACAGCCCATCTGTACCATGTGATTAGAGCTAACCACAATAGTAAACACTGAATGAATCATTTCATTGCTTATAAAAACAGTGTAGTTCACTGGTATAAGCAATCATCGTGTGTTAAAAAAAAAAAATCATGATCACTTCCTTATGTAATGCTCTGGCCACAGTGTGTTCCCCCCCCCCCCAAAAAAAAATTCATCAAAAAGAAAAAAAATATAAATAGAAAACACATTTAAAAAAAAAAAAATATATATAAATATATATATATATAATTTTTTTTTTTTTTTTTGCATACTGTCACCAGTGTCCCTGATCACCGCCACACCAGTTCTATGATGACACTGCACTGATAACAGCAGATCACAAAGTAAATAACAGTTGCCGGTTATCGCTGCACTTTTCCTCGCAGTGTCACAGCGCGAGGAAATGTACTGCCGATAACCAGGAAAATGTTCACAGAGCAATCTGCACCGCTGATCATCAGGGCCCAGCAGTGCCCATCATTGCTGCATACCAGTGCCACTCTCATTTATACCCACCAGTGCCGCCTCATCTATACCCACCATTGCCGCCTCATCTATACCCATCGGTGCCAGCCTTCAACCAGCCTCATTCTATAACCCACCAAGTGCCGCCTCATCTATACCCACCAGTGCCGCAATACCTCATTTCTATACCCACCAGTGTGCCGCCTCATCTATACCCACCAGTGCCGCCTCATCAATACCCACCAGTGCCGCCTCATTCTATACCCACCAGTGCCGCCTCATCTATACCACCAGTGCCGGCCTCATTTATACCCATCAGTGCCAGCCTCATCTATACCCATACCACATCAAGTGCCGCCATCATGCCGTGGCGCTCATCTATACCCACCAGTGCCGCCTCATGTATACCCACTAGTGCCCCTCCTCTATACCCATCAGTGCCGCCTCATCTATACCCCACCAGTGCCGCCTCATCTATACCCATCAGTGCCGCCTCCTCTATACCCACCACTGCTGCCTCATCTATACCCACCAGTGCCGCCTCATCTATACCCATCAGTGCTGCCTCATCTATACCCACCAGTGCCGCCTCATCTATACCCATCAGTGCCGCCTCCTCTATACCCACCACTGCTGCCTCATCTATACCCACCAGTGCCGCCTCATCTATACCCATCAGTGCTGCCTCATCTATACCCACCAGTGCAGCCTATCAGTGCAGCCTATCAGTGCTGCCTATCAGTGCTGCCTCATCAACGCACATCAGTGAAGGAGAAAAATTACCTGTTTGCAAAATTTTATAATAGAAACACAAAAACTTTTTTTTTAAAATGTTTTGCTCTCTTTTTTGTTTATAAAGCAAAAAATAAAAACCTCCAGCGGGGATTAAATATCCCAAAAAGAAGCTCTATCTGTATGAAAAAAATTATAAAAATTTAATATGGGTGCAATGTTGCATGACTGCACAATTGTCAGTCAAAGTGGGACAGTGCTGAAAAGTGGCCTGAGCAGAAAGGGGGGGGGGGGGGGGGGGTTGTGCCCGGTAGGCAAGGGGTTAATTTAATATTGATATCCGCTGCAGATCACACCCGCAGTGCGTTTTTGAACAGGGTTCAGGAAATGCGCACTGAAGCGTGTTTCCCGCACCGCGTTCTGGTGTGAACCGGCCCTCGAAGTATAAACTAAAGGGAAAACTTTTTTTTTTTCATTTAGGATAGACTGCAGAGGGATTGGAACATCCTCTTTCACCGCTGTCTGTGTCCCCCGTTTTGGGAGAATCCCCCCTCTCTTATGTGTCCTGTGTGAGTGAAAGAAAATCCACCATTTTGGGTTGTCACCAGAACAGGAATAGAAAAGGAAATCTTCCAATGGGGGCACTAGTTCAGGGATTCCCTCACTTTGGCGGGATTTCCTCTCTCACTTCCTGTTTTGGCTCTGGGACAGGAAGTGAAGGGAATTCTCTCCAATGGGACACAGATGGAAACAAAATAAAGAGGTTATAACCCTTCCTTACTGTATCCAAAATGAAAATGTTCTATTTTAATTTTTTGCTCATGAGGTGCCTATATTTTTTTGAGCCTAGAGGTTTTTTAAATTGGGAACACGTGTACTTTTCATGTTACTCCTCCCCGAACAAGGGGAGGAGTAACATGAAAAGTACACGTGTTCCCTATTTAACCCCTCGCCTACCGGGCACTTATACCCCCTTCCTGCCTACCGGGCACTTCTACCCCCTTCCCCCCCCCCCCCCCAGGCCAATTTCCAGCTTTCAGCGCTGTCGCACTTTGAATGACAATTGTGCAGTCATGCAACATTTTACCCATATGAAATTTTTATCAATTTTTTGTGACAGATAGAGCTTTATTTTGGTGGTATTTAATCACCTCGGGGTTTTTTATTTTTTCTTAAACAAGCCAAAAAACCACTGAAAATTTTGAAAAAAATTTTTTTTTTTCTTAGTTTTTGTAATAAAATTTTGTAAATAAGTGATTTTTCTCCTTCACTGATGTGTGCTAATGAGGCTGTAGTGATGGGCACTCATAGGCTGCACTGATGGGCACTGATGAGGAGGCACTGGTAGGTGGCACTGATGGGCATGACAGGCATCACTGATGGGCACTGAAAGGCAGCACTGATACATGGCACTGATAGGCAGCACTGACTGGCACTGATAGGCGGCACTGACTGGCACTGATAGGCGGCACTGACTGGCACTGTTAGGCGGCACTGACTCGCACTGATAGGTGGCACTGGCTGGCACTGATAGCTGGCATTGATTGGCATTGATAGGTGGCACTCACTGGCACTGATGGGTGACATTGAAAGGCAGCTCAGATGGGCACTGATATGTGGCATTGATGGGCACTGGTAGGCTCTGATATGTGGCACTGATGGACACTGGCATGAGGCACTGATTAGCACTGATGGACACTGACAGGTGGCACTGAAGGGGCTACACTGATCATCAGTGCCCTGATGATCAGTGTAGATTTCCCCTCCGCAGAAAGCTGATTACTGGCTCTCCTCTCCTCTGTCAGCGTGACAGCTCGAGAGGAGAGAAATGCCGATAACCGGCATTTCCCTGTTTACATGTGATCAGCTGTGATTGGACACAGCTGATCACATGACCGAGCCAACATCTTCGGCTCTTACCGTGATGGGTGATCTGCTGTGTCTGAGGGGCACAGCGCACTGCTGATCGCTGTGCTGTGCGCTCCCGAAGCCACGCACGCGCGGTTAGAGTGGGAGGAAGTCATATGACGTCCTCCCAGAACGAGAGAACCGCCTTGTGCCCGTCATATTACTATATGACAGTGTTTCTCAACTCCAGTCCTCATGGACCCCCAACAGGTCATGTTTTCAGGATTTCCCTCAGATGAAACAGCTGTGGTAATTACTAAGGCAGTGAAACTGATCAAATCACCTGTGCAAAAATAATGGAAATCCTGAAAACATGACCTGTTGGGGGTCCATGAGGACTGGAGTTGAGAAACACTGCTATATGAGGTGGTTAAAAACCTCTAGGCTCAAGAAAATATAGACCATTGGATCCAGGGAATATCGGATTGCCTCTCGGGGCATCAGGAAGGAATTTTTCCCCTGCAGGAGCAGATTGGTTCATGTTTTATTGGAGTTTCTTGCCTTCCTCTGGATCAACTGTGGGTGTAGGATTGCATACATTTTTTACATTCCCCCCCCCCCCCCCCCCCCCCCCCCCCACCCCCCCCCTACCCCCCCCCCACCCTTGTATTGGTTGAACTGGATGGATTTGTGTCTTTTTTTCAACCAGACTATGTAACAAAAAAAAACCAAAAATAAATAAAAAAAAAAGCCTGCACCATAAATTGCTACCCAGCCTAGTGAAATATTTCACAGAGAGGGGCAAACCTTGGAAGTAGGACGGTTGTGGATCCGCCATTAATTTTGGAGAAGCATGCGGTACTTTTTTTTTCATTGGTGGCGTGTCAGGCGAGGATGATGAGGAGTCGGATAGTCCCAGGGCCACAAGGCGCCCCTTTTTTCCGCACACGAAGCAGTCTGGAGGTGTAGCCGACGGGCCGCGGGGGAAATTGAGATTCATCCGGATTATAATTTCTCACTGCACCGCTATGCTGTTCAGACCGTTCTCGCTGCCAGATGTAGTGAGTCGGAGCGATGGCCATCACCTGCAGATGACGTGGGAGGAAAGTACTTCTTAGTTTTTTTTTTTTTATTTTGTTTTTTTACACATGCAGAAATTAACCTCTTGGCGCCGGCCGCATGCAAATGTGCGGCCTCCCGGCGTCTGGGCCTTGACGCCGAGCGGCCGCACATTTGCGTGCAATTAAGAAGAAACATATGTGCTGAGAGCGCTCCCAGCACACATGTCCGGTACTCACGGAATGGTCCCGATCTCCTCTTTCGATCGGGACCTTTCCCAATCATGTGACGGCTGTGTCACGGCGGTCACATGACCCTAAACCCCGCCCCACCTCCCGGCTTCTGAAATCCTTAAAAGGCCGGAGAGGCGCCGGCGCCAAGGGGTTAAACATCACAAGGAAAACCTGCATGGTTTATATGATTGATATACAGAGCAGCGGTGTATTTAGGTTTTGTGTTGTCATAGGCAACACAAAAATCGTCTGTCTCCACAGACACCAACCCACACAACCCCCCCTTCCCCATCCTGCAGAAAAAGCCTGACATTGACCAACAACACCCCTACAACACCCCTACCCCTCACCCAGGAGAGCCTTCCACTACCCCCCACCCAGGAGAGCCTTCCACTACCCCCCACCCAGGAGAGCCTTCCACTACCCCCCCCCCCCCAACAATAGAGACACTCATCTTCACAGCCCCGGACATCCCCGGGAACAAGAATCAGGCTCTACATAGACCATCAAGCAGCCGACAGCCTCTCTCGGATCCCACCTGGCTCCCATGGTGCACGTGTCCCTTCTTTCATCCCTTCTTGTGTGGGGGAGGTGCTTCCCTGATACAGGGGTTGGACAAAAATATGGAAACACAACATGATTTGCAAGTGTGAAAGTGACGACATTAAATCTCAAAATAAGTGAGCGCTTCAAACAACTAATACGATCAATTAGTGAATAGGATAAAATAAGAAGAAAGCAGCTGAACACCAAAAGGTACCATATAAACCTTCACAGTAATCAAAATTGCATACAAGGGAGAGGTGCAGCGCTAGCTGAATAAATATGCACTTAAATGCTTATTAAATATGCACTAATATAAATCAATAAAAGTGCTAATAAAGTGCAAAACAGTGACTAAATGGTAAGTATAGTCCATAGCGTGCTCAAAAATCCAAGAGAGTCCTTAAAGAGCTCCAATCCCTGGATTCGTGGATGAGGTGAGCTAACCCCCTATGACTACGTGCCTTCGCACGAAACGCGTCAGGGAGCGGCTACAAGCGGTGTGACGTCACGCCGACCGGCGCCACGAGGGCCCCGGCGGCCATTTATTTTTCAAATGTATGGTCAGTATCTTTCCTGCCTCTGCCTGTATACTGTGTGTCTTTGGGAATAAAACACCCCTTATATATAAGGTATCACACTATCTGGCCTCCTTTGTTCTTGGGGCTCTCCTGGTGGGAGTCCTTTACATCTGCAGAGCGGCCCTTTCTTCCGTGTGTGGAAAACACTACCAAGGTGATGAGAGGCTTCTGTGACCAGATCTGACCAGATCCATATGAGGACCCTGAGATTGTCAGCTTTAAATGCGCACTTGAATTGCGGATCTGGTGAGTGCGCAATTCTTATCTTTATCACCTCATCCACGAATCCAGGGATTGGAGCTCTTTAAGGACTCTCTTGGATTTTTGAGCACGCTATGGACTATACTTACCATTTAGTCACTGTTTTGCACTTTATTAGCACTTTTATTGATTTATATTAGTGTATATTTAATAAGCATTTAAGTGCATATTTATTCAGCTAGCGCTGCACCTCTCCCTTGTATGCAATTTTGAAAGTGACGACATGTTTGGCGGTAAAAGTGGAAGTGATGGAACATTCTTTTTCTTCCGCTGTGCGATGAGACACCTAGCTAACAGGCAAGAAGCCTCACTTTCCTCATTCACTGCGTGTGATGCTAGTAATACAAAGTCATGTCAGAGCTTACTGAGCTTCAAAGACGGCAAATTGTTGATTTGTTGCTGGCGCCTCTGAGACTGAAGTTGCCGATGTATTTGCCGTGTGGCGAGGTTCAGTATTCGAAGGTTATGGCGGCGTATACAGTTTCCGGAAAACGTCGGCTGATAAGCATAAGCGTGGATGGCGTGGTCAAAAAAAGGACTCTGCGCAGGATTGTGACCCGGGATAAGGAAACAATTGCTGCAAAAGGGACTGCAGAGCTCAATCTCAGTCTTCCAAAACGCGCGGAGGAAACTCCGCCCACATCGAAGAAAATCAATTGATCGACAGTCCACAGTTTATGGGTGTTGCCCCGCTCTCTCTCCTCTTTGAGCAATAATATCGGTCACTAGTGGTTTGGCAATCGTCGCTCGCGCCCGTGAATGCTTTGCTTACGCCCACATGGAAGAAAATATATTTGAAATGCTACAATTTTTGGCCATATTCAGTATATTTCAAAATATATTTCAATAAATATATATATATATATATACATACTGCATGTTGAAATTTTTTTTAACATAAAAAGTAATTTTATATCTATATATATGTGTGTATGTATGTTATATAATACATATATTTTTTACATATATTTGTAAATGCATTCCAAAAATGCAGATTTGTATTTTTAACCGCCTCCCGCCCACCATATAGTCCAATGATGGACGCAAGGCGGTTCTCTCGTTCTGGGAGGAGGTCATATGACGTCCTCTCCTTTCTCAGAGCGCATGAGCGGCTCCAGGAGCGCGCAGCGCGGCGATCTGCGGTGCGCTCTGTCCCCCGGACACAGCGGATCACCGAGCACAGAGCGAGCCAAAGATGTCGGCTCGGTCATGTCATCAGCTGTGTCCAATCACAGCTGATCGCATGTAAACAGGGAAATGCCGGTTATCAGCATTTCTCTCCCCACGAGCTGTCACGCTGACAGGAGAGGAGAGTCGGTAATCGGCATTCCTCGGAGGGGACATCTACACTGATCATCAGTGCCCTGATGATCAGTGTAGCCCCAGCAGAGCCACCTGTCAGTGTCTATCAGTGCCAGCTCTCAGTGCTCATCCATGCCACCTGCCAGTGCTCACCAGTACCATATCAGTGCCCATCAGTGCCACATCAATGCTACATATCAGTGCCCATCAATGCCACATATCAGTGCCCATCTGAGCTGCCTTCCGGTGTCACCCATCAGTGCCAGTCAGTGCCGCCTATCAGTGTGCATCAGTGCCCGTCAGTGCTGCCTATCAGAGCCGCCTAACAGTGCCAGTCAGTGCCGCCTAACAGTGCTGCCTTTCAGTGCCCATCAGTGCCACCTACCAGTGCCTCCTCATCAGTGCCCATCAGTGCCACCTATCAGAGCCCATCAGTGCAGCCTCATTAGTGCACATCAGTGAAGGAGAAAAATCGCTTATTTACAAAATTTTATAACAAAAACTAAGAAAAAACTTTTTTTTAAAAAAAAAAAAAATTTCTGTGGTTTTTGGTTTGTTTAAGAAAAAATAAAAACCCCCGAGGTGATTAAATACCACCAAAATAAAGCTCTATCTGTCACAAAAAATGATAAAAATTTCATATGGGTACAATGTTGCATGACCCGCGCAATTGTTATTCAAAGTGTGACAGAGCTGGAAATTGGCCTGGGCAGGAAGGGGGTATAAGTGCCCGGTAGGCAGGAAGGGGGTAGAAGTGCCCTGTAGGCAGGAAGGGGGTAGAAGTGCCCGGGGGGCAGGAAGGGGGTAGAAGTGTCCAGTAGGCAGGAAGAGGGTAGAAGTGCCCTGTAGGCAGGAAGGGGGTAGAAATGCCCGGTAGGCAGGAAGGGGGTAGAAGTGCCCTGTAGGCAGGAAGGGGGTAGATGATGCTGAAGGGGGTAGAAGTGCCTGGTAGGCAGGAAGGGGGTAGAAGTGCCTGGTAGGCAGGGGTAAAGGGGGTAGAAAGGGGGTGCCCGGTAGGCAGGAAGGGGGTAGAAGTGCCCGGTAGGCAGGAAGGGGGT